ACACACACACACACACACACACACACACACACACACACACAGTTTCCCCTCCTTCCTTTAAAATCTCAGGTCACTCTCCTATGTGCTTAATCATTCTCTAAGTTGGAGTGTTATTTGTGTTCATATTTCTTTCCCCCAACTGTATTCCAGGCTCTTTGAGGGCAGGTACTATATTTCTTTTCTTTTTTTTTATCCTCAGGGCCTTAAATAATGCCTTTCAATACAATAAGAATTCAATTAATGCTTATTGAATTAAAGGCTTGTTGAATGAATAGTTAGTGATACTGGCAAAAGATATTATAGGGACAAAGAATGGCATAACCAAAGAGTAAAGTGCAGATCCGTCCAGGGAACAGTGAATAAGCTAGTCTGATTGGAGTCTAACAGACATAATAGAGAAAGGTGTCAAGAAAAGCTGTGAAGGTATGGTAGCACCCAACTATGGAGAACCTTGAATGTCAGGCTGACGGAAGGTGAATATTATGTTAGGTTATGGCTTGAGCACTGGCAAACTCATGGTCAGAGAAGTCTACATGACACTGTGAGACAAGCCTTCCAAGATTTATTATGTGTTATTAACTCACACAATGGTGTTGCAATAATGGTTGGTATCAGCTGTGCTGAATATAAAATGTGGTAGTCCATTACCATGAACTTTCCATATTAACCATTAATCTTCTGTTTATAGAAACTGTGATGTAGTAGGTAGATCACCATATTCAGAGTTGAGAAGACCCGGGTTTGAATCCTACCTCTTAAACATACTTTCTGAGCAATTCACTTCATCTTTCAGTGCCCCCAAACAAATCTCTAAAACCATAAATTGCATAGCAGGTACCATTTGCGTTGGTAAGAGGAATTTCCTTACTGAGAATTCCCTATGCCAATAAAATCACAGATCTAATTTAAAAAAAAACAACGACTTTAATTTGATTCAACAAACGTTTACTAAGCACTGAGAATAAAGAGGCAAAAAAAGTCCCTGACCTCAATGAACTTACATTCTCCAAAAGTTCAGTTAATAGCCCTGCACTCCTAGAGAGAAAAAAATAAATAAATCAAGACTCCCCTCCAAATCATTGCGATCCTGTAATCTGTAATGTTATAATGGAACCAGGTCAGAGCTGTCCCTATAATCAGAGAACTGAAGCAAGGCTGCTGAAGAGACCTAGTTTCATTCTACCCACTTCACATATCCATGTTTGGTGGATAAGGAAACCTGAAAACTTTTGATTCACATCTCCACCCCTCTAATAAAGTCACCCAGGAGTTACTAACTCTCTGCCAGTGGCTATGCTGTGGAAGTCTGTGCACATGTGCACCCTGACACAAATATGCACAAATCAGCTGATAACTACAACCCAGGTCTTTTGATTTGGCCCTGTTTTCCAAGGCTTTCAGAGTTACCAGATCCACTCTATAATCACCATAAACCTTACTAGTAGGGGGCCGCTAGGTGGCGCAGTGGATAGAACACTGGCCCTGGCTGGATTCAGGAGGACCCGAGTGTTCAAATCCAGCCTCAGACACTTGATACTTACTAGCTGTGTGACCCTGGACAAGTCACTTAACCCCATTGCCTAGCCAAAAACAAAAACAAAAACAAAACCTTGCTAGTGGGTGGAAGCAGAAGGGGACTGCTAAGAGCATAGCATCCCAGAAGCCAAAGGAGGAGTTTCAGGAAGAGTGTGGTCACCCATATAAAATTCTTCAAAGAGGTCAAGGATCATGATGATATCTGAGGAAGTAACCCACTGGATTGGGAATTAAGAGGTCACTATTGACATCTGTAATTGTGGACAGCCAGATGGCACAGTGCATAGAATGCAAGCCCTGGAATCAGGAAGACTCATCTTCCTGAGTTCAAATCTGACCTCAGACATTTACTAGTTCTGTGACCCTGTGTGCCTTGGTTTCCTCATTTATAAAATGAAGTGGAGAAGGAAATTGCAAACCACTTCAGTATCTTTTCTAAGAAAAATCCCAGATAGGGTTACGAAGAGTCAGACATGACTGAAAAAACTGAACAACAACGTTGACTTCTGCTCTTACCACTCAGTTTAAATTGTTCTTTAGAAGATAGATTGCAAGAGGTTGAGGAGTAAGTGTATATATGACTGTGATATAGAAAGGAGTGGAAATGTCTAACATAGTTGTGGAATCAGTGAAAATTATATCAATAATATGTTAAATTTATATAGCACGTTTTTGGAATGGGGAGATCACACCTCTAATTTCGTTGGCATAAGGAACTAACTCCTAGTAAAGGAACCCCCAGTTCACACTGGCACCTGCTCTGTAATTTAGCATCTTAGTTGTCTGTAGTTCTGAGAGGTTAAGTGATTTTCCCGGAGTCACCAAAACAATCTGTATTAAAGATGATTTGAACGCAAGCTTCCTAAGGTCATCTTTCTCTCCTAACAGAGATAGACCTCAGTGAGTCTGTGAATTAGGATGGGAAAAAACCCCATGTGTAAAATGGGACGCTAAATTGAGCTAATACTGGAAAGTTCTTTGCAGACCTTAAAAGCATTCTGTAAAATATCAGTTATTATGAAAGAGGGATGATTTCCTGTTTATTTTCTTCTCACAGACTGGTTTCTTCTTAGAGAGGCTTCATCACCTAAGAGAAGATTTAGTAACAAATAATAGATCTAGGGTTCAAAGCCCCAATTATACCTCTAATAGTTATAATACTCATGGAATCTCATCATTGCTTTGCATAAAACAGTCATACCCTGAATTCTTGAGCCTAGTGTCATCTTAGTTCAGACCCTTGTTTCTTCTAACCTGAACTACTTCCAACTGCCTCCTAACTGGTCTCTCCACCTCCAGTTCATTCTGCAGAATACTACCATATTTATCTTCATAAAAATGACTTCGGGAAGCCAGCATCGCAGAATCACAGTACTACTAGGGTTAGAAGATATATCAGATGTCACCTAATCCAATCTATACTTGAACAGGGATCCCTATGAGATGTTCATCCAGCTTCTGTATGTTGTTTTTCAGTCATTTTTAAATCATGTCCGACTCTTCATGACCCTGTTTGGGATCTTCTTGGCAAAGATACTGGAATAGTTTGTCATTTCCATCTCCAGCTCATTTTGCAGATGAGGAAACTAAGGCAAACAGACTGAAGTGACTTGTCCAGGGTCACACAGCTAGTAAGTGTCTGACTCTGGATTTGAACTCAGAAAGGTGAGTCTTTCTGACTCAAGACCCTGCACTCTATCTCCTGCCCCACCTAGCTGCAGCTTCTATACACAGAAGGCCAAGGAAGAGAGGCTATTTCCTCCCAAGATAGCCCATGTCACTTCAAGACAGCTTCTTTGGGGCAGCTAGGTGGTGCAATATATAGAACACTGGCCCTGGAGTCAGGAGAACATGAGTTCAAATTCGGCCTCAGACACATAACACTTACTAGCTGTGACCTGGACAAGTCACTTAACCCCAATGCCTCACCAAGAAAAAAAAATTTTTTAAAAATACAGCTGCTTTCCAATAGGTTGGGTTTCTGAGATAGAAGTCAATGTGAGTTCATTTGAATCTCAATACTCATCTTCACCAGTTAAACCAGATTGTCTGCAGTATTGATTTCAGAGAACAAATTCTATAACATGAACACATATCCAAAAAAATCAGTAGTAGTGAGTTAATTAACTATTAATCTTTCTACTATAGAAGGTAAACCCAAGATGGATTTTAAAGTAGTATGTTACATAGGCTTATTTAGACATCGCTAATTCATCAGTGCCGCCAGGCTGCCCCTATTTCTTTATATCCTTTTCGAGGTCATTGCTTTGCTACCAAAACCTCCTGACAAATAATTGAATACATGTGATGGTCCCAGAGCTGGACTCATCTGGACCAATTCCCTCCTACCTCAGCTAGTCTATTGAATCCCAGTCCCTGGGCAAATGGCTCTACATTTTGTTTACCTTATCCAGTTATTCAGTGGAAAGCTCTGATGTCTATTGTGTGTGGCTGATAAGTGAGCATGCTGCTGCCTAAGCAGTGAAGCCATCAGAGCCTCTAAACACTGTCCCTAATTGTATTCCCTGTTCTCTGATACTAGATGCAGTAAATTACATTTACACCCAGTCCCCTGACTTGCCAATCCTCTATTCACGAACAACAGAATCATCTCCTGAGCAAGACGGGACGAGCAGGGTAGCTGGTAAGTCTGGAGGACCTCTGTGTTTATGAAAGTCAAACCAGGGGCCAGTGTCCTTTTTTTCCCTGATAACTTTAATAATGGCCCTCTTGCCCAGATGCCTTTCTACCTCACTAAGTCTTGTTGGACATCTTTTCTCAAGCAAGCCCCCTCCCAAGAACTGTGTGAGACAAAGAAAAGTGATATGTTTAGTATCTTGTGACCAGATGAAAGGCCATCACAGGGAAACCAGTAATATTGGGGGTTGGGAGAGTCCCTTTTGGAATTTGAGTATTTGTCTGCCTTGTTCATTACTCTGCTTTATCTCTGTCACTGTGTCAAAATAAGTCTGTATGAATCAAATATTACTACCCTCTCTTCAGTAACTTACATTTACCCCAGTTGGAACTCAACCAGAGAGGAGAACAAGGTCTAATATCTGTGTATGGTGTTTTAAATGGCCTATTTAAGTGCATTATCCAACACTTTGGGAATTCTTTATCTATACATACATACAAACACACACACACACACACTCACACACACACACACACTCTCTCTCTCAAAGAGGTGAGTGGGTAGGGTCATTCTTAGCCTTACTGGCCTCTGAAGAAAATCATAGCCCTTCAAAGAATATGTATTTTTTTTGCTGTTGTTTCTTGTATTTATAGATGTCTCCAGAGTGATGTACTAGTCATATTATGTACTTATGTGTATGCCTCATTTCATATAGTAGGTGTGATCAGTAAAGTTGAATATAAATTGATTTAAAAACAAACAAACAACATATCAAATCATGCTTTCAGTGTGCTAGGAGAGCTTGCTATTTAAAGGAGCTCTTTGGTGAAACCTTTTGTAAAAGGACAGGGACTGGACCTGTGATTTCCTTGGAATGAGCTCTTGGATAAGGACCCTCCTTCTACTAATGCAGGTTGGCATCTTCTCTGCATCTCATAGTCTTAGAAAGTTGCCTAGAACATTTAGAGGTTGCGTGAATTGCCTAAGGTCACACAACCAGTACATGTCAGAGGTAGAATGAATCTGGGTCTTCCTGCCTTCTGTATACACCACTCTGCCCTTCCTCATAAAGAGAAGAAACATAAAATCTGGAATTTTAGAGTTGGAAGAGATCATAGAGATGATCTAGCTTAGTCTATATCTTTTTAGTTTTTAATGTTTATTTTCTATAAATTAGAGCTTTTATAAAGAATTTGCTTAAAGTAGTGCATACCAACACATATCAATTACTTTAATATAAATATAAACTCAAAAAAATATAAATATAAACTCAGTTGGTACAAGTGCCGTGGTACAGAAAATCTATTATTGGTATGTGAAGGTGAATGCATGTAAAACTTTTTTTTATCTGTACTCTTTGTGACCCCATTTTGGGGTTTTCTTGGCAGAGATACTGGAATGGTTTTTCATTTCCTTCTCCAGCTCATTTTATAGATGAGGAAACTGAGGCAAACAGGGTTAAGTGACTTGCCCAGGGTCACACAGCTAGTAAGTGTTTGAGGCCAGATTTGAACTCAGGAAGATGAGTCTTCTGACTTCAAGCCTGCACTCTATCCATTGTGCCATCTATCTGCCCTACACAAAACTAATAGACTGTTAAATTTACTTTGTAGGCTGAATTAGAAGGGAGGGAAAGATGGAGAGGCATGTAATCCAAGGATTTACCATTGCACATACATAATTCATCTGTAACTTACAGTCTTAGAGAGCTGTCCACAGCTAGTATGTGTCATAACCCAGGTCTTCCTAACTCCAAAGCCAGCCCTCTATCTGATACCTGACTTTGCCTCTCTACATTTCCATTTTGTTGTTGTTCAGTCATCTGAGTTGTGTCCCACTCTTTGTGACCCCATTTGAGATTTTCTTGGCAAAGACACTGGAGTGTTTTGCCATCTCCTTCTCCAACTTATTTTACAGATGAGGAAACTGAGGCAAACGGAGTTAAATGACTTGCCCAGGGTCACACATCTAGTAAGTGTCTGAGGTCAAATTTGAACTCAGGGAGCTGAGTCTTCCTGACTGCAGGCCCGGCACTCTATTCACTGCATCACCTAGCTCCCCTCTACATTTCCATAGCTCCTCACATGCTAACCTACTGAGCATATTGTAACTATAAAATCACAAAAGAGTAGATTTCCACAGTTAAGCATTTATTACTTACAAAACCAAAATTTGAAACCTGCAAGCAGGACATTGGATTTGCCTCTTGCTTGAATTTATAGTCATTAGTAAAACTGAATGTGCTTAGCATTGGAGTACTCACCCTGAGGTTAAATGGCTAAAAGTTTACATGCAAAATGAAAAGTTTGGCTTCCTGAACACCAAGAGTTTGTGTAATGGTGCCAAAGAAAGAGAGAAAGTTCTTATGAGGTCAACACAATTTACTAACTGGTCGTTCCTTTTGTTATTGCGTATCTCATTGATTGTAGGCCCCATTTTTCATTTCTTTGTTTTGAAAATCACTTGTGGATAGATCCCTGTCTTAGTCATTTCCTGACATTCAAATCTCCCCTTCCCCCAAACAAATCACACTACAGACAGAACAAGAGATGATGAAAAAATAAAGATGGAAGAAAGTCGATCCACAAGAGAAGGTTGCTTTCAGTGGTTATACCATTCAAGTGCATAGAAATTTATCATCATTAAGAAATTTATCATCATTAAGAAAATTAAATGCTTGTGTACCTCCATTCTTTTCATTCATTCAACATTTAAATATTTTAGACGCCTACTCTACATAGAATACTGTGGTAACAAAGTTAGGTAAGGTTGAATCCCACCTCTTATGGGACTTAGTGAAATAAGGGGTCAAAATATATCCCAGATAATAAAACACAGTAATAATGCACAGTAAATGCATTAGAAATGTGTAAAACAAAGTACTCTTTAGATATAAGAGGTCTCAATCAAGGATCAAAGAAGGCTTTCTGAAGGAAGTTAAGTAATTAGCTAGGTTGCACTGAGCCAGGAGACAAGAAGACCTTAGTTCAAATCTAATAGCTGTGTAACCCTAAGCAAGTCATTTGACCTTTGTTTGCTTGTTTCCTCATCTGTTAAATGGGGCTAATAATAGCATTTATCCCTCAGGGTTGCCATGAGAACCAAATGAGATAAAAATTGCTAAGTGCTTAGCACAGTCTCTGGCACGTAGTAGACACTATATAAATGCTAGCTATCATAATTATTATTATTATGCATTGAACTTTTCAAATCCAGTCTCAGTCACTAGCTGTATAACCCTGGGCGAGTCACTTAGCCTCTCTGTGCCTCAGTTTCCTCATCTGTAATATAGGGACAATAAGAGCATCTACCTCCCAGAGTTGTTGATCAAGTGAAATAAATTTGTGAAGTGCTTTGCAAACTTAAGCATCATGTGAATGCTAGCTGTAAAATTAAGAAGACGTGGAGATTCAACAGATAAAGATTTAAGGATCACAGATTTGGAAGTGGAAGTCCAACCTCCTCATTTTACAGCAGAGCAAATAAGGCCCAGCAAGGTTAAGTGATTTTGTGTGACCTCCCACAAAGCTAATAATATGTAGCAGTATAAATAAATAATAAAAATATAATAATTAAACAATTTGTATTATTAAAATATTGCAATATATAATCACAAGTATCAGATGGAGAATTTGAACCTATATATTCTGACTTGGAAGCCAGTGTTCTTTCTTTCCAACTGTAACATGTTGCCTACTCAAGGAGTGAATGAAGATATTCCAAAGAGGAGAGAATAGAAAATGTCAGGAAAAAATCGTTTGAACTTTGGACAATAGACATTGGGGAGAAACCAAATACTTTTGAGCAGAAATAGAAATCTCCTCCCTCATACTTAAATATACTATGAAAGTTCAACAATCCAAATAGTGTAAATAAATAGCACTTTTCTGTAGCACTTTAAGGTCTGCAAACCACTTTCCTCACAAATTTGTGAGGTGAGTAGTCAAATATTATCCAAATTTTGACTCTGAGACTTTTCTTTCATTGTTCTAGATCAATAGTGTCAAATTCAAAGAGAAATGGAACCACTGAACCATATATAAGGATCCCTGTGGGCATATATTGGTTTAGAAAAACAGATATTAACACTATCTTTGTTTTATTGCATTTTTATTTATTTAGTCAAATATCTCCCAGTTACATTTTAATCCCTACCTCCCCCCCAATCCCTGTCAGTTGGAGTGTTGTGGTGGCCTGCATGTGGCCTACACACAACACCTCTGGTCTAGATCAATGTCTGAATTGAAAGAGAGGCACCACTCTGAATTATTATTAGCAACAATATAATCATAATGGGTGAGATAATAACAGCCATATTTTTATATTACCAATGTCAAGAGAAGCTTTCGAAAAATGGTGCTTTTAGCAGAGACATAGTAAAGTGCAAAATGGAGATATACATCTTTAGAGTCAAAGGACCAGGGTTTGAATTCAAACTCTTTTACTTGCTATTTTTGTGACATTTAGCAAGTTGATTTATGTCCCTGGCCCTCCAATATCTCATCTGTAGAATGAAGGTGTTGGATTAGGTGACTGCAGAGGTTCCTTCCAACTTGGAAACTATTATCCAATGTGTACGTAAACATGCTTAACCAGAGAGAATCCACATTCACTATGAGAAGAGTTTCTTAGGGGCAACTGGGTGATTCAGTGTATAGAGCACTGGATCTGGAGTCAGAAAGGCCTGATTTTAAATTTGGCTGCAGACACTAACTTTATGATCCTGGATAAGTCCCTTAACTACTCCTGCCTCAGTTTCTTCATCTGTAAAATGGGGACAATAATAACACATACCTCCCAGTGTTGTTGTGAGGATCAAATGACATATTTATAAAGTACTTTGCTGGCTATTATTATTACAGGCAGCCATCAGTCCCACTCCTTTCTCCTTCCTTCCTTTCTTGTTTTTTCCTATTTTTCCTTTCCTTCTTTCCTCTCCTTCTCTCTCTCCCTTCCTCTGTTTCTCCCTCATTCATTCAACTAGTGTTGATTTACATTCTTTTCTA